CTCCCGCCCCTCTCCCCTCGGCTCCTCTGAGCTCTGAACCCCTTGCAGGCCTTTCCTCTCAGCCCGTTCCTCTCATCCTTCTCCCTGCGCCCGCTTTCCGAGCCCCCCCCAACTCTTCGGCCCCGGAATCTGTCCCCCACTCCGTCACAGGCCCTTCCAGGCCCCCCTCAGCTCTTCCTCCAAGACCTTCCCCACAGTGGGGCCTTTCGTGGGACCCCACTAGGGCCGGGAGCCTGCTCGCCCTTCCCACCGCCCTCTGAGCCCCCTCTGCGGAGCCTTCCCTGGGGGAGCCGAGTGGCTCCCCCTCAGCACCTGCCCCGAGGCCCCCGATCCCCCGATCCCCTGGTTCCCGCATCCCCACACCCCTCCTCAGAGTTGGCAAGTCCCCCCATTCATACCCCTCTCTCCCATTCACAGCGGCCCCCCCATCACACGCCACCCCGCCCCCGGCCTCCCCTCCTTTTTCCGCTGCGTGTCACTGCGTGTGTCAGTGTGGCTGTGTTGATGTGCGTGCGTGTGTGTGCCTGCCTGCAGCCGCGCGTGTGTGCGTGCGTGTGTGTGTGTGTGTCTGTGAGAGAGGGAGGAGGTGGGCTCCCAGCCCACCCCCCAGCTGTGTCCATCTGCGTATCCCTGTTTGACGGTGTCTGTCTCTGTGTGTGACTTGGAGCGACAGGCTGTCTGGGGACTCTGTGTGTGTGTGCGTGTGTGTGTGTGTGATGGAGTGAGTCTGTCCCAGGCACTGCGGCTGTGTTTCCCCACACCCACCCTCCCATGCCAGGCCTGTCCCCTCCCCCACAGCCCCCCCTTCACTGGTCCCTCCGTGTGTCTCTGTCCCCATGCGCCCCTCTCCCTGCCCTCGGGGGGTCTGTGCCTGCGTGGGGCCCATGTGCTGAGCCGCGGCTGAGCTTCTGCACGGGGCGGGGGGTGTATATGCTGTGCGTGCCACTTCTCAGCATGGGAGGGGGCCGGCTTCAGTGCGTGAGGCCCCTGTACCCACCGTGGAGATGGGTACAGGGGGAGGGGCCAGTGCTGGAGGGGGTGCCAAGTACAGCGGCAGGCTCTGGGCTGTGGGATCTTGGGTGTGCGAGAGGGACCTTCACAGTGGGGGTGGGGGAGTGGACGCTGCTGCAGTCTGTGTGTGGGATCCAGTGAACAAGAGCTGGCCGCTGGGCTCCAGAGGCCGCTCAGGGTCGCCGAGGGATGGCCAGGGGGAGAGCATTGTGTGTGTTCCTGCAGGGCAGGTAGCCAGCAGCACGGAGCATGAATGGGGTGCTGCGTGGGTCGCTGGGAGCAGGGGGTGGGGTTAGAGGGTCTGGGCAGGAGGCCGGTGGGAAGAGAAAGGAACAGGGTAGAGTGGGAGATGCCGGCGAAGGGGATGGGGAAGACCGGAACGCGGAGGGTGCGTGGAGGAGCACGCACGGCAATGGGGTAAGCAGCGGATGCAGGCAGAGCGAGACCGGTTTGGGGGTGGGGACTTAGAGAGGGTCCAGGAAATGTAAATGAGATGCAGTTGCAAGTATTGGGGAGGCCGAAAGGAGAAAGAGGCTGTCACGGGGCGCACGGGAGGAGCCTGGGGTGCCGCGGGGAACACTGTGGGGTTCCACACAGAGGCGCGGGAGGGCGTGAGTGGGGTGAGGGCGTGGGAGGCGGGAGAGGTCGCGGAAGTCTGAGGAGGACACTTGGGGAGGAGAGGGGATGTGGGGGTCTGTGTGTGCAAGGGCAGAGTGTGGGGTGGGCTGACGGCCCTGTGGGTGTGACCGGCTTTCGGGTTGGGGCGCCGGGGAGCAGTCGGATGACACGGCGGAGCAGGTAGCGAGGTGCGGAGAGGGCCGGGGGCACACGCGGATTGGGGGGGTTTGGGGGGGTCGGGTAGTCCAGGGAGCGCATGGTGGGACGAGGGAGCCGCCACATGTCGCTGGCGATCGGGCGGGAAAGTCTCAGAAGCGGGGAGGAGACATGTCTGGGATGGGGACCCTCGAGAGGGAGGGACAGAGGGGGTGCTCTGACCACCCAAAGGTGTCGGGACATTATTGGGGTACATGGGGTGCCGGTCGGGGATTCGGTCTTGGCTTCGGCACTTTTCCAGCCTGGCGTCATCTCGAACAAGTTATTTCTCTGTGCCTCAATTTCCTCATCTACAAAATGGGAACGATAAGAGGCAAGCCCTATCCCCAAGGGGTGCCATGAGGACTGAACGAACAGCTAAGCGGAGAGGGCTCGGACCGCGTGTGGCGCCCGGCAGCAGTTCCGCGAACGCCTCCATCGTGGCGCGCCGTCGGCGTGGCCCGCGATGAGTCTGGGGCGCTCACAGCAGTAGGTTCGGGGCAGAGGTGTCTGTGCCCCAGGTATCTGAGCGCTGTGGAGTGAGCGGAGGGTGTCGAGGCCGCAGTTACCCAGGTATTCCCCCCCGGGGATCAATGAAGCACGTCATTCCCTGTGTGACCTCAAGCTGATCGCTCAGCCTTGCTGTGCCTCTGGCTCCTCCCTCGCAAGGTGACAACTGTGCTCGTCTCCACCTCAGAGGTGAGCCCGTGAGAGACGGTTGACTTATGTAGCTGCGAAGCCTTCAAACGCTGCCTGGCGCACAGCAAGTGCTTCTTCCTGGCGTTTAACGGGTGTGGAAATTTTGTAGGATTATAGTTGGAGGATGGGGTAGCTGGTGTGTGGAGTGTGTCGGGATAACGCGAAGGTAAAAGGGATTCCGGGGGCAGGAGGAAGATGTGGGGAAGGTTGGGGTTTGGGGGCGGCCGGAACGAAGGAAATGAGAAGTAAAGGAGAGCTGAAGGGCACCGCTGGCCGCCGGGGGGCGCCCCGGAGATCTGGAAGGGAGGTCGGGGTAGCGAGGGCGTGAGGCCTCAGAGGACATTGCAAGGTGTAAGGTGGGGACAAGGGCAACGCTGAACGCACGGTCGGCAGCCGGCAGCTCTGACCTCGCGACCCACTTCCGTTGGCCCTGTCCGCTAGCCGGAGCCTTGTCGGCCTCCTTCCTCCCCTCCCCTTCCGTGCCCCCCCATCCCTCCTCCTTTGCCAGCCCCCCACCCCCCACCTAACTACAAAGATGGCCCGTCCCTGGATTGAACGTAACATCAGGAAGATACGGGGGTCTGGTGGGGACGTGTTTGCCCGACCATGGTGAGCTTCGAGCAGGGGCTGTTTCCGGGGTGAGTCCGCGTGTACCCGCTGAGCGCACCCGAGTTACAGGAAGGGGGGCGGAGACAGCGCTGCCCCCTCCCCCCGCCCCCCGCACGGGAGCAGCTGGGGTACGAGGGTACGGAAGTCGTGGGGGGCCACGGGCGCATACGGGGGCGCTCCCGCGGTGCTGGTGGGGCGCATGAGGTATTCTTGGCGGGACTCGGGCTGCGTTGGGGGGGCGCGTTATGGGAATACACGGAGATCGAAGTGAGGGGGCGTTATCGGCGCATACTGGGATGCGTGGGGGTGTCACCGAAATATACCGGAGTATTCCTGGAGGGCTGTTTGGCGGGACCTGTGGGGGCGGGTAATTGGAGTGCGCGGGGAGCATGCTCGGCTATTACTGAGGCGTGTTGGGGCTGGTGGAGATTATCCGGGTGTGCCGAGGGGGTCCGCGTGTGCACCGCATGGGTTGCAGAGGCGGCTGCAGCATGCTGAGGTGCAGCCGGCCACGCGTTCCGCTGGCTCTTGGTGCTCTTGAGAATTTCGAAGGGAGCGGGGTCGGAGCCGGGGTGCCTGGGTATTCCCATTGTGTACCGGGGTGCCTGGAATGGAACAGACACGTGATCCTGAGGTACGGTGGTGACGTCAGGGTTTGGGGGCTGTATCCAAGGGAGCACGGGCAGGTGCTGAAGTACACGGATTACAGAGAGAGATGCGTTTGAGATACCCCAGGGAATACAGGAGTCAGTGCCGTCTTCCGGAACTTTCTACGGTCAGGGAAACCTTCCGCATCTGCGCTGTCCAGCATGGCAGCCGCTCGCCTCCCGTGGCTGCTGGGCGCTTTGAGAGGTGGCTGGCGGGACAGAGGGACTGAATCGTTCCATTTAACTTTTAATTAATTTGCGTACAAATAGCCACGTGCCGCTCGTGGCCACCATATTGGACAGTGACGCATAAGCAATGTTACGACATGCTGGGGACCCGGGGAGGCGTCACTGTGGTCTATGTCCAGTCGAGGAGGTGGGAGGGGTGTCCTCAGAGACCTTGTGTCCTCTGGACTTAAAAGCTTGACCAGAGACAGGGGAGGGATTCTGCTGAGCACGTACAACACACCGGGTCCTGCGTGGAACCGAGCTGCTACAGCGAGCCCCTCGGGTGCAGCCTGCTACTGCTCCCCACACTAGGTGAAGAAACAGACCCAAAAAGTTAAAGGCACGGGCTCAAGGTCACAGGCAGGAAGTGGCCGGCAAGGGTTCAGGCCAGGCGGTCTGGCGGTCTGGCGGTCTGGCTGCGTACCTCCCCCCCTCACCCCCCCCACCCTGCACCGTGCCTGGCGCACAGTGGGCTTCGGCACTGCTTGCTGAATGGATGGGTGGATGGATGGATGGATGAAGGAGGGAGTGAGTAGGAGGGCGGGCGCTCGGGGCTGTGCGAGCGCACGCGGACGCCCTCCCCACGCGGGCGAGGAAGATCCCGGGAGGTGGGACGAACGGTCCCGGGGGCAGGGGCTCGGGTCATGGGGTTGCCTGGCTCCGGCGTCTCATGATCCCTTCTCCACCCGCCCCGCC